TATATATATATAATTGAAATCGTGCAATAAATATTTATTTAAAGCTTCCGACTGCATATTCCCTGCTGAAAGATTCTTCCCACCAAATAATATTTTTGATGTAAGTATATTTAACTCAGTGCAACAGTGTTCCTTCCGATTACTAGTTTTTTGAGGTAATTTTCAGTCTTTTAGAAACATTCTAACACTGTGTCATCAACAAATGAGCTGCATTGCGAAATACAGTAGCCCATTTATTAAAAACAGATAGGAATAATAGAAATAATATGTATACTAAACAGGGCATAAATAAAGGTATGATGTTCCTCATAAAAAAAACGTTTGAGAAAGAAAATCCAGCAACAATAATATTCTTTTTCATTCAAGAATACAAAAAAACAATGAAAGTAAAAAATAAATTAAGAGCACAGATGGACAGACATAGCAGTAATTGATAAGACAAGAGGACAAAAGAAATGAACAACACTGTAAAATACACTGGCCATTTGTGGACCCTCAAAAAAAAAGTGCTAATAGCGGTAGGAAAGAACTCTTCAAATAACTGGGAAATAATTTCTCGTAAATTCAAACATATATGAAATATGTAATCTAAAAATGTGTAGCACAGGAAAGAAATAACAGGGACAACAGAAATGTGACAGAATTAAAAGTGGAAAAACATTAGTAGCGGGAACAACCGCTGTACAGATACCGGTTGTACTATGCTGAAGAATGAAATAAAATGAATCAATGAGAATATGATATGCATTAAATCTTAGGACGAAAAATAAAATAGATGACAAAAAAAGAAGGTTTATAACTTCAGATTGAGGGATTTTCTGCAAATATACAAATCATTTTAGGAAAGGGGATAGATGTATCACGATTTAAAAGAAATATATGATTATACATGTATGTATGCATACATACACGCATATGTATATCACTTGTTATTTCTGCTTATTATGTACAACAGTAATACACAGCTGAATGAAGCGAACTTGGCAACCGATTGCATGGCTCATTCAACGAATAATTGAATGAGTAAATAGCAATAAAATACCACAAATTGTTCTGGCACTTCCGAGCTGTATGTATGAATAAACAAAATTACCATTTGAAGGATATAATATGAGAGGAATATTAATCGATGAACTTAAGACAGTTCGAAGAGAGCGAGACAATAATAATGTAACCAAATTAAAAATGGAATAAATACATGCAATAGAATTTCATCCAAATTTGGCCAGTTACTTTACCACTAACTAATGCGAAAAAAATCCCATACATTTGATCTTAAACATTTCACTTGAATAATTCAAAATGTTGGAAATTCACGTTGATTTAGATGTTATTAAGAAGATAAGAAACTAAATTGATAGTGATATAAGTCATAACGCATCAATGTTGTTCCTAGAAATACATAGGAGACAGCAGGGCAAAAAGATAATTACGTTAGATACTCTTCAAAACGTTCGCAAAAGCATGTCCAGTTCACGGAATTCCTGTAGTTAAAAAAATTAAAATAAACAGTAAAGTGGAAAGATAAACTAAAAAATTTTAAAAATTTTTTGCAAAAAAAAAAACAAGCAAACCTTCTGATTGTCCTTTTGTAAATTATCATACAATAAGCCATAGTCAGAAGAGTTTGCAAACAAAGAAAGCCGGAAAAAAAGGAAGAGAAACAAAAAAAGAAATAAATCACAAGTTATACATTATTTATTGCAGCAAACGCAAAGAAATGCATCTTGTAAGGAACTCTGATATATAATAAGATGAAAGAGAACGAAGTGCTTGAATTCTTACAAGAAAACAAAAAGTTCCGACTTTTCACTGCAGCTTTCTTTCACAGAAGACGAATAAACTTTTACGACGAATTCACTGATATTATGAGATATCGTGCCAGTTGTCCTCTCCGAAAGCATGTAATATTCATTAAATTACGACTGTTCAAATAACAATGCGTCAAGTACCAGTGCTACTCCAAACGCGATGCCAGCAAAAAGCAACTGAAAATGAAAAGTGTGGCCAAAATTTATGTTTTTTGACATATGTTTTTATACACTATCCTTCAAATAATATATGCAACTATCTCACTAACTGTTTTTTCCAATTTCTGTTAGGCTACAATTAAATTCCGTACCTAAAGGATATTGAAATGCCTACATAGAGCTGATGTACAAAATTCTTCTATGTTAAAATCTTGAGTATATAATAATGATAAAACAATATAATTAATGCAGAAATAAATTCCGATGCAGGTAGAAGGAATGATGATAATTAAAAATTATAGTTAAGCAACTTTACGACCAATATACGAAATGATACCTTTCTTTAATTATATGATAAACTGAAGAAGCAACATCAACTTTATAATGCAACATAAAGGACTAAAATGAGAAATTAAAACCAACCAGGATGACGAATGCGTAGTGTTTATCGGACAAAATATGATATTGGATCCATTGCACGTTGCTAATATTTTGCGCCCGAATGGCAAGCATCTCCTGCTCAGTAACTTCGAGGGCCTTTTTGCGAGGTATCACAAGCGATGGGGTTGCAAACTGTATAGCAGACGGCGTTGAAACACTTTCAATTCCATCTCTGATTCGCACACACTGAACACGAAGCTGAACACTCTCAGATGTCGAAAGTGAGTATGACGTGGACATACCTTCATACGCCTATAAAAAATTTTCCGCAATCATTCTCAAAAATAATCCGAGCATTTAAATTACCAAATCCTATAACTCGATCCCTCCTTATACATAGTTTTACACAGTTTAAGTATACTTTCTAAACAAATTACGATTGATTAATGCTCACACTGTTAGTGAATTCTCCAATTACATTTCAGAAATTATCAGATCAATGTATAAAACGCCAGTAGAAAGTATTAATTTTTTTCCCCTTTCCTAAATAATTGAAAAAGTTACTGTTTTCCAGATATTGTTCGATCGTTCCGTAGAACTTCGGGATGCAACTTGAAGGCGATACAACAAAGATTCTTTCCCATTCGCTGACGATATACGAACTGGTGACCATTCTACCTTAAAAATATGTGGTGAAATAAAAATAAAATTAAAATATGGTATGATATTATCTGCATCGCTCATATAAGTATTTGAAAAGCAAGAAACAAAAGCTTCCATGTGCTTCAAAATATTTGACATTTCATGTTGGTCAGATAAGACATAGCTTAAACCACCGAGTTTTAAACAAAGAATTGGAAACTCTTTAATTCACTTGCATCTTTCTATGTTATCATATTCATTTCAGTTCAACATTATTTATACTTTTCTCTATTTTATTTTCATTACTCTTATAATATGAAATTGTAGTTCATCCTATGCCAAGCTGTAAACGCAATAATAATATGGCTAAAATCTTTATACAAAATTTAGAAAAAGTTAAAACGCATTTAATAATGTCCTTTGGGAGTTCCTTTTTCTTTTTCTCACAAAAACGAAAGCGAATATAGTGTTTTCGTAAATAAGCTAGAGCTAACCTGAAAAGAGCCTGATGCAACTTCTGTTACCGTTGGTGCAGATCGTATTGTTGGCGGTGGCAATTGCTCGGTTGAAAACTCAAATGGTGAAGACCAAGGACCGGCACCCGAAACTCGTGACGAGCAACGAATACGGAAACGGTATTTTGTACTTTCATTCAAATTGCGCACTTTCGCATAACGATTATCGCCTTCATAAATCTGCAAGATGATAAAGGTTATTTAATTTCACATTAAACAAAAGTTTAAAAAATCAAGATTCTTAATAATATTATGAATTTTACTCTGACAATAACTGCATATTATTAACCGGTGAAAATTTGCCATTATCATTCTCTTTCTCCAAATAATAGTAATATTGCATGGTTGTTAATGTAGGTGAATTTCCAGGCGGTTTCCATTTCAGTTTCAAATAATTTGGACCTGCTTCAGAACAGAGCAAATTAGGAGGCTGTGGAGGAGGTGCTAGTGTTGTGGCTGTTGTCCATGATGGATCACCTATTCCAATGGCATTTATGCCATGGATTGACAACCTAAAGTTCATAAAAAATCAAAATTCCAACTGAATATGTTACTACTTGAATAAGAAAGTGTAAAAACAGTTTCAAAATCAGCTTATAATGTTTCATATACGATACAATTATAATTTTAAATGAATAATAAGTAGATGAAATAACAATTCTGCAAGAAGATCTGAGTTCCATGTAACATTAGTTACATTAAAAACTGGAAGCTTAGCTTAAAGAATCCTGAGTATAAGAGACACGAAAAGTATCCAAAAAACAATAGAAATCAAAACCAACCTGTATGTGCGACCGGCTTCAAGTGAATCGATAATACATTCGCATACAGATGCTTCTTGTTGTATCACGCGAATCTCATCACCAGAGCAATCATCAAGCACACGAATACTGTATTCGAAAATTTCACTTCCATTACAACAAGGTGCTCGCCACGATGCTTGTAGCTGCCTACAACCTAAAACTATTTTGATCTAGCCGTATGTCTAAATATCTATGTTAATTTCGTATGCATGCTAACCGGTGTACATAAATGTTTAAACCCTTCTCCATTGTGTCATTATATTATTTTTTATTTTGTATGTAATCGCAGCATCCTAAACAAATTTCAGTTTTTACAAAAATTTTTCAAAATGAATAAAAACGTACCTTGTGGAAGGGCATGGAAATTCAGCGGTGCAGCAGGTGAGCGGGGAGGAATAGAAACATAGATGCATTCACTAGGAATACTGGTACCACCACTATTTACTGCCGACACACTAAGCTGATACTTACAGCCAGGTTGTCCTTCAGCTACACTAATACTCAACACTTCTGCGCTTTCGCGTTTCATTGTCCAACCGCAATTTGTACTGGTCGCCTGATCGCTGTCATTCTTAGATTTCGATCTGAAGATTTTAATAAATATTGGTTATGTTCGAAGATTAATACTATATCTTATTGAAATCTTATTTTAAGCACATAAGGAATGTTAAAAAGTAAAAAAAAAATGTGCTGGAACTTGTTTAAGAAAATAATATGAGAACTATTGCTTATGTGATTAATATTTCTCTAGAAACTCAGGATTGCAATCCCAAAAGATGTAATGTAATAAATGCCGCAAATTAAAAAGTACAAACTAAATTTAGCAAGAGAAAGATATGTGGTTTTCAGAAATTATTTATGCAATAAAAGAGACTATGATAAACAAGGTTGTAATGTAAGCAACAGCTTTTTAACTTTCACCAATTAAAACAAAATTTCCAAAACTTACGTAAATGATGAGAGAACGAGAATTCTCTCGATAATATATTCCATAATGGGTGCTCCATTGATACTATTTGGCGGTGACCAATGCAATACATTTTCGGCATCAACATGTACATCAGTTGGCGGTGATGGTGGCTGTGCTGCAGTTCTCCCAACAGCCACTCGACTCCATTCACCCTCCAAACGTGTCCCATCAAGAGAAACAGAAATGGCACGTACTTGCACTTCCATCTCTTCACCCGGAGCACAGTTTGATAAGTCAAACATTGTTGCTTCACCTACGAAATTTATTCTTATTACAAAGTATTAAATTGCGAAAATTACATTAGAGAGTAAAAGCATAGAACGCGTTTTCTTTTTCGGGCAGTTTGTGTCCAAAGAAAGATGAAGAAGAGATTTTGTGGGAATATATTAACAAAAGTCAATTCAACGATGCATTCAACTTGCATAACCCCAATTCCTAGATAACCGCTGATGTTTATCAAAATGCAAAACATTTCTGCACGCAATGGTAGCTTTCTGGAACACTATGCGATAAAAACTTCACAGTGTTAGAATACCACTTCGTAAATTTTGATATTTTATTTTAGAATTTTTGACTTCCACACGACTGGACCGAAATTAGATAAATCACTGACCATCCTTCCACTCTATAGAAAAGCAACAAAACTGCTCTAACCTTGATAAATGATACTGGAAGGTTGTAAATTGACACGATGAAGTTGATAAACTGCGGAGGACATAATATTGTCCGGTGGATTCCATTGGATACGCAGACAACCTTTTGAGATTTCAGTGATTGTAGGTGCAGCACACTGCCCAGGAACTGCTATGGCACGTTGTTTTTCTTGTCGGATACGCAAAATGTCACTCCATTCACTCTTCAAAATACAAACAGAATAAAGTTGGAAACCCATAACTTAAATGACAGGAAATAAAATTTTTGGTTTATTATTCTCTTACACTTATTGTTGTAATAAATTACAAAGTATAAAAACTTATTAACCTCAAAATCTCAACTTCATTTTATTTATTTGACAAGCATAAAACCTTCTAAAAGCACATTTCTCGAATTCTATTTTTATTAAAATTTACATCATTGATATAAATATGTTCAATCAGTTACCTGCGACTGCTTTCTTAATGCAGCTACTCGAAAAGCTCGCATTTCAGGATTACGAATTTGTGCACTTATTGCGTTACCTTTGTATATCACAGTCCAAGATTTCTCATCTGAGCTACCTTCTAGCACGAAGCCAAGATCTTTTTCGTTCATACGTCCCGCTTTCCAACCAATTTCAAGACGTACTCTATTGTTTGAAATGATATGCGGCCGTGAAGGCGTTGGAGGGGGAGGCGAGCCGGACGGCGCGGACGGAGTTCGAACAATAAGTGCTTCAGATGGCTTGCTATCACCCGCATCGTTATGAGCAATCAAACGAAAATGATACTGACAGTTACTGTAAAAAGAGACGAATGGTGATTGCTTATAAAGATTACTAGAAGACTGTTCAAGTGAGCACAAATATTTCTGAAATTATAACATACAGAATACATACCTTACAACGTCATTCACACTGACTGAAGACAGTTGGGAACGTTCGCAAACAACTGAATATTCATTTGTTCGCATATCAGACATTTCTAGCTGAAGTAGAACATTACAAAAAATAAAAACATATTATATATATATATATATATATATATTTACACACTAAGCTTATTTACATTTATATTTATTAATCTTACATGTGAACCTATCAACGGCAAATCATATTCCTTTTGAAACAGTAATCGACAGCTGAATGTAGCATGTTTTAAAAGGCTTATATTTTAAAGTTAATAATTTCATTACGAATGACTGTGATATTAAATAAGTAATAAAACAATTACATTATTATCATCACATTTAAGTTCGAAAAAATCGAACAGTTTGAAAATTAGCTACAAATTAAAAACAAACCGTGTAAGAATGTTGTGGTTGAGTATTCCAAGAAAGTTTGATATATTTAGCTGACAAAGAAACAAGCTGAGGACAGTGCGGTTGTTTTGGCGGAAAGAAAAGTGCTGATGTACAAATGGTAATTGGAGCCGATGGCTGAGAATCTCCATCACTATTCGTAGCGGTCAGACGAACTCGATATCGTGTTGACGGTGTCAAATCTTTGATTCTAAACTGTTCTGCCAAGCCTTCATACACTGTTTCATAACCTTCCTCTTCCTGCTGGCCACCCTAAAAAGAAATAAATGATTACTGACTAGAATACTTACAGAAAACCTAGTTATACATTATATTCTCGCTGATCAGAAGCAATATACCATGTATGACCGCTGCTTCGAAGAAATTAGAAATTTAGTAAATGAAGACCCTAGAGAAAACACAATTTAGTTATCTAAGCAATACAACCAGCATGACAAAGGAATAAAATAAAATTGGTCACGGCATAAAAATAAAAAGTTTGTGCCCAAAAATCGAAAAATTCGTTTGGAAAATGATCAGGATTATACGAATATCAGATCATAAGTGATGTATTATGGGAATCAATCTCTAGTCATTAGGATCAAAACTGAATAAGATAAACCGGTCCAGTTTTGTTAACACAATCTGTTTTTCAAAAGCTCAATTAAACTCATTATCCACTTATTTCTTAAATAGTGATTTTATAAATATTATTTGATTAATGCATTAAAACACTTACAGATGCCAACTCCAGACGGTAGCATATAATTGGTGAACCGTTATCAACAGTCGAACGCCACGAAACAGTAATTGAATTATGCGTGCGTGAAACTAGGCGAGGAGGATGCGGAGATTCTGGTACCGTTGTAAGTGTTCGGAATTTTACAGCAGTTGATGGGCTACCCTGCAAACCGCGTTCCTCTAGTGAAGCTCTCAGCTGCACATAATATTCAGTATTTGGTCGAAGGCGACATAGGCGTACTCGGTTGCCCGAATCAGGCTCACATCTGCAAGTCGGTTTTTTCCAAAATTATGAAATAACTGTAGCTACAAAAGAAAGTAACATGACATTTTCTGATCATTTTTTATTATCTCCAAATTGTTAGTTTTTTTCTTTAAAGAAACAAAGAAATTTAAATAACTTTAAAATTTTCTCCAAAATTATGAAACCAAAAATACTAAAAATCAAATTCCAGCGTACAGAGAACAGAAAACTTTCTTTTGAAAAAAAAAAAAAACTTTCAACGTTCTCAATATCTAATTAATAAAAAAAGGAATTTCATTCATTTGTAAGAAAATAGTGACATGAAACTACCTATAGCTACTGACAATACGTCCAACACTTTCGAAAAGAACAATATCGTAGGTAAATTCGGATGCATCAATTTGTGGAAATGGTCCACCGGGTGCAGATGCCTCAGATGTATCTAATTCTTGCCAAGCAATATCAGCTTCCTTTGCTGCTACTCGAAGAATCTGAAAATTGAGCAAAATGGACCTTAGAATTTTCCATGTTAAACGAATGAAGAATCAAACACGGATGTAAATAAACTGACACATTTCAATTCTTCTACCTGAGGCGACTGCATTCGTGACAGCATTTCGGTAAGCCGCTCCCATTCCTCTTCTTCATTTGCTGAAGCTCCTGACTGACTTTGTTCCTGAATATTGCATTAAATTTGTGTGTCTGTATGCTAAATTAATTCAACTGCATTATTTTGAGGTATCACTAGTTCTCTCGTAAAAAATTTAGGTTGTTTATTTATTTATTATTTAGCATATTTTATCAGATATGTCAATTATTGCCACTACTATCTTCATTCAGATCATGCGGACATTGTACATAGCTTTTAAATTATCTGGTAACCATTAGCTACTGTTCATAAAGTCAACACATTTATCACATTGCTATCAAATAATCTCGCAAAGTGATTATTTGCGCGGAAGTATAAAATCGATCATAATAACTAATCGTTTCTCCAGCACTATTGTCTGTGCATATTATAAAGAATCAAAATTATGAATAGATTAATTCAAACTTTTTTCCTGCGTATCTCATTAAAATTAAATCAAACAGTGGTTCAAGAACATTCAATTTTCTTCAAGTGAATTTTATCAACCGTTTTAAAAAAAATTTATGAGTGGGAAAATGAGTGATGTAGATACTCGAGAAAAAATTTTATCAATGTTTTTAAAAATTTATGGGTGGGAGAGGTGAGATGGTATAGATGCTTGAAAGAGAAGTAAAGAGTGAAAAGCTGAGTTCCATTGCACATTAACAGTAAATAAATAAATGCGCAGAATTAGTGTAAAATAATGTAAAATATTTGTTTTTAATGAAGTACATATATCATGTTACAAACTTGCCTGCCATTTCTAATCCACTTTTATGATATATACTTACATGATCGTCGGTATTACTTGCTGGCACTTGCACTAAATGCGGTCCAACGAACTTCTTTCCGTGTGGTATCCAAGTCTTTCGAAGAGTCTCTGAAAAACAGTAAAAAATTACGCAAAACTATACTTCGAAATATGTATATATATACTAATTCCTCATTCATTCTTCAAATTTAAAACTTAAATAAGTTTAGAATATTTCAGTTTAAATCACTAACCTTAAAATTCTTAGGCTTTTGGATAAAATAGTAATAAAAGAATAAAATATCCGCAGAAAATGACAAAAATGAGATGGTGAAAATTTAGAGAAAAGCATATTTACCTTCGCCAAAATCAGTACTGTTATGAAGGGAGTACGGCATAACTGGAGGTGGATAAGGAGGCACTATAGGTGGTGAAGGTGAATTATGGGCAAATTGTTTCAATGGTGTTGTCGCACTCGAATTATGGAGAGGTGCATTTGCACTAACTGTTGCTGGTGGCGGGGCAGTCTGAAATACAACAAAATTGTTGTTTTATGCAACTACTTTCATCTAATTATGGTAATCAATTTGCTTTATGCTTTCACCATTACACTCTGTTGGTGCAAAGGTTGAAATTGAATTTTTAAGATTTTTTTTAAATGTATAGTAGGAAGGAAAAAGCCTAGTTCATTTTCATTCGAACAGAAGATGCTTTGATAATGAAGAAAAAAAATCTTGTCAATGAGGATAATATGAAGATAGTATACTCCATGTTTCTAAATTTTCTGCAGTTTGTAGAAAAACTGCAGATCAAAGAATTTTAAATCATTTCTTTAAATTGGAAATTTCAACTTTAATAGTAAATCCGTATACATCGTTCTTTCAGAATGTTTTCAGAACGGTCGTTTGTTGAAAACATTTCGAAACTGTGAACTACCAAAAGCCGGTGAGAATAGTGATAAGAAATGAAATTTTACATCATGTCATTCTGAAGTGTGTCGAAGCCAAAATAAGTGCATTTTATATACTTACATAAACATCTTCGTCTTTGTAATAAATTCTTGTAAACAAACCTACGCAGACTAAATAAAAAAGATCAATCCACAAACATAATATTTTCACGTACTGCCAGGTAATCCCTTGTTCTGATAAATTTAATGTTAAGTTACACTAATATATCCTAAAGAAATGCTGTTTCCAGTAACTTATTCAATAGTAATTAATGAAAACATAAAATACGTTATGTTAGTCTACCTCAATCTTTTCTTGAATTATATCTTTGTCTGATACAAAATCTCCCGACAACAGTTTATCGCTTCTTTCACGAACAAAAGACGAGAAACTCATGATTTATTATCCCTTTTTATATAAAAATTTTTGAAATAATTTGAATTTTTTTGCCACGGAATACACCTCTGAATCCGTGAATTATAAAAGCCGAAAACATAATTTTTTAGAAAAATTCAAGCGAACCGGTATCAAGCGCGATCCAGGCGTAGCTTCTGGTGATAAAATCAGGTGACGTAAGACGCCCTATAATTTGTTATTAGTTAAACATAAGAAATCATTAGTAAAATTTGAATGGGTAATTTGTAGTTAACATAAGATTTTCCAAGCTACTCTTTCTAAAGAAATCATAACAGTGTAGATCATGAATTATGCTGTCATAGCCGACTAAGTTTATATGGTATTCTAGATAAGATATCACACGGTAAATTAAAGATATCTATTGTTCTACAGTACTTCTAAGCTGCTTGAGTTCACTAACTTTTTTCCAGTCTTGATTTACCGGGCACTTCCAGTTTCATAGTGAAGAAGCACTAAGAAATGAAAACTTTTGAACTCACTCCTTATTAGCGTTTCACAAAAAAATGATGTAATGCAACTAGCATTTTAATCCTAGAAGTATTCGAAAAAGCAGGACCTACTTAGTCAAGAAAGACCTAAATAATGATTTAAAAAAATACTCTAACACAGCTAGAAAATAACCTGTTCATCGACCATTTGCTGAACCATATGTCCAGGTGGAACATGCAGCGGAAGGGCAGATGGTGACATGCCAGCCTGATTTACCATACGCACCGTTGCGGGGCCTTTAAAAATTTCGTTAATAAGATATATCAATTCCGAAAATAAAAAAACAAGAATAAAAAATTTTAAGAATTAAATTTCTATAATATTTTTGGAAAAAATCCTCAATAATGAAAGAGACCTAAGAAAGAATTTCATCTCTTAGAATAAAACAAACCTGAGATATGTTGAATGTCGTTCCCTATAACGATTGAAAGAGTTTCGCCGGTTTGCACGTGTACAAAAAGGTCATTACTACCAATGGAGGTTGGCGCACGCTGTGTTACATTGATGTTACCTCGTACTGAAATGTGAAACACGTTTTGGATATCCATTTTCGAAGGTTTTAAAACTGAAATTTAAAGTTTTAAGTGATACTAAATCATATATAATCCTTCCGAAATGGAAAAAACATGACATTTCGAATCTGTTTACAGGCTTGAACAGATCTTTTAGGTGATTTTAAAAATGAAGGAGCAATGCTCATACAGCAAGTTGAGTTTATAAATTAAATATATTCATGAGTATTTAACGCATTGAATAGATGCCAAAAAGTATTAATGAGGCATTAGTATTCCATCTTCTCTAATTATTTTTAATATTACCGTAGAATTTTTTGACTTACTTTATAAATGATGAGAAGCGCTCTAATAAAATGTTTAAACCTTCTACGAAAAAAGCCCTTAAACTATTTTCAGTATTTTTTATAGAAAAAATGAAGGCAATTAAATTATCCTTCTAAAAAAAAAACCTTTGCTTACAATCTACTGTCCACTGCATTTGTAGAAACAGTGAAACAACCGCTTGAACAAAACAGAAATAGCTATATTGAGATATGATGAAAAAATTATCATATATATTTATAGGGAAAAAACTGGAATTGAAACCATGGGATTTGAATGTGTTTATTAATTCTTTTATATGAACTGATAATGAATACACATGTAATCTCTAAATCTATGACGATAGCTATAACGTTTCTGATGGATGAACATCCAAGAATACATTTAGCGAGCTTTTTGCTTTAAATGATTTCAAAGTTTAGTTTAATTATAATAAACAAATATGATACTTTACTGCCTATTAACATTTAAAAAGTTTAAACCTAAACTTTATACAAACTTGAATTTCGTTAAAAAATTAAAGTTATAAGGAATGTATTTGAATGGAGCAGCATTTTAAATATCAAGAAAATGATATATAGAGAAATGACTAAATGTTAGTACGATTAGCGCATAGCAAACCATCAGTCCCCCAGCTGGCATAACATTCAAATGCTTTTTCCTTTCAAAAGAATGGTACATTGTAGACGAGAAAAGAAGTGATGAAACCAGGACTTAGAAATGATGATATACATCGATAACTGCCTTTTCTACTTCTACGTATCACTTCTATCGCCGATCTCCTGTACTGTTTTCTGCTTTGAGCAAAAAGAGTACAAATTTTGTGGTGAATAGGTCGATATGGAATTTGAAATGTTTACATCTTTTTACTATTTCATATAAAAAATTCTACAGAAATATGTTGCAGATTTTTTGAATGAACCACTGCCCATTTGTTATTTTTTTTACTGCACCATGTATGAGTAAGTGCTTATCAATTATCAAGTATAGGACAAATAATTAAAATAGAATGAGACAGATTAAAACAACTTATCCTCTCTTTTCCAAGTCGAAAAACCGTCTCTGTCTCAGTATTTCGTGCAGTTAGAGACCATGTAAAATACAAAGACAATCGTTATTTGAAAAAAATAGAAATTGGCTATGGTCCCTGTTGGGTCAAGTGCACAGCTTTCAAATAATGAGTGATGGGTGAAGATAACAAAAAACAATAAAATACGAGACACGATTTTTTTTTAGTGACAAGTTGACATTGGCGCTTTATTAAATGATATTCGGATCGATTTACCTCGACAGCATTGGATAGATGTAATGGAGGTGATATTTCTCGATTACTGAATGCAAAACAGAAAACTTAGGAACATCACGTCAGAAATTTTTGATACCCTAACAGTATGAGAAAAAGTCTATATTTTACCATCCTTAAAAACTTTGTTTAATGTTAACGTTATCAACATTAAAATCATTATTTTGGAGAATAAATATCCCAATATTAATAACATTAATAACATTAACATTAAAATCTTTATTCTCCACTGCCTAATCATAAAATAGTTTACTTTGAGAAGAATAAATTTACAAAAATAAAATAAAAGATACAGTGCGGATGAGAAAAAAGCAAACGTTGATGAAAAACTGAGTGTTTTCAATGAGATTTGCACAGCAATTCAAATTAAACAAAACCACTTATCTTTAATCAATATCATTAACTTGCAGTTATAATCATACAATAATCATTCTCCGAATGGATAAATGTTTTCTTCGTACTACAAAAATTCTTCGTACCTTCGATCAGAATGCAAATGATCAGTGACAAGAAAAAAGAAAAGAGCAGAAACAATGATCCCAAAAATTCTCAACATGATTGTGATGTCACCGAAACAAGCAAAAAAGTAGTCTTATTAATAGTGGGGACAGTTGTTTCATATTCTTTAGACGTTCACACATAAAAATAACTAACTAAAATTTACTTCATTGCAAAAGTAAGAAGCAAAGAAAAAACAATTTTTTAAAATTCTATTCCAGCTCGTCATTCCTAAATATAATTAGTCGCAAAAAGGTTTATTCTATTTTACCACTTTGACTGATTTGTAATCTAAGTGATTCCTGTAAGTATTATAAATTATCAAAACTCAAATCACAACATATGATTTACTTTTTCTCCTATATATCTTTGCCAACCATTTTGTTAGGTTTACCTTATTTCCAATCACATTATTCTGTATTCTGTTGCTAATGATGGTTACTCTTGCA